CCAGCGTGTGCTGGGCCTCCCTCGGCTCCTCCCACGCTAAACTTACTGCAGGGGGTAGCTGGGGAGACGGCGCGGCCAGCTGCTTGCTGGCATCTGCAAGGCCACGAATCCAGAGCTGATTGCATAATCTTGCACGTAATTAGTTAGACTGTTGGGTCATTTAGCAATCGCGCTTCGTGTGCTTTTTGCAAATAAGGAATTACATCCAGGATAGTACTGTATGTAAGTTGTATCTGATGCTCAATAAAAGGTCTTTGGTGCATTCCGCTTGGGTCCATGCACATCATACACTGCAAATGGAGCCCAATGTGGGGCATGAACAGGCAGGAAGACCCTGTGCCACGTGCTCTAGGTGACCCTGCGTGTGCAGGGGGGTTGGACTAGATGTCCTCTAGAGGTCCCTTCCAACCTTAAGCATTCTGTGATTGTGTGATTATACCAGAGTCCGTGCACATCATAAGCTGCAGTGCTCCTTTCTGGCACTGCAGTTCTTCGCGGAGCGGCGCTGCAGCGGGATAAGCCCGTGCCTACACGAGTGGTGAAACTCACTGCCGGGCCCCTGGCCCTGGGGCTGGAGTGGCTCCCTGGCTCTGCTGCTTTGCGGGGAAGGGCTTGTGCTTTGTCCCAGTCCCTGGGCCCTGAAAGGGGGTGTCCTGAGGCTGGGGCTCGGGGAGCGTTTTGGGGCTGGTGCCTGGTGGGTTGGAGCTCTCCAACCAGGCAGCTGCTGGCTGCCTTCTGTAGATGGGAGGTAAGAAGAGCGGCCAGGACCGTTCCTACTTACCGGACGCGCTCCTGCAGTTCCACTGCTCCGTGCTGAGCAGGCACCAGCACACGGACATCACCCACTTTCCATCACCCCTTTATTAGAGCCACCGCGAGCTGTAGCCCCTGCCCCTTTGCCAGGCAGGGCGGCTTCATGGGACCCGCCTGCGGGTACCGGGAGCTGCTGCGGGAGAGGGGCCACCGTGAGCGCCAGCCCCCCGGGCATGTGGCGCCGGCTGCCCAAACTCCGCACACCCTCACGCGACATCCGTCTCCAGCACATCCTCGCTTTTGGCAGGCCCAGGCTGATTCAGTGTCTCCATTTCTTCCTCCTTTCTCTTCCGACGTTGCTTCCGGTAACGACTTGGGGAAAAAAATGAATAAATAAAAAGTAGTATTTAATAAAAAAGAAAAACCACAGGCGCCCGTGTGAGCCACGTGGCTCACACTGAAACGCACATGGCACCTACTGGGTGCAAAGGCAGGCACAGACGACGAGGACAACAAGGGCGGCCCCGGCCGCGATGAGGGAGATGATGATGATCTGGCCCCGGTCGCCTCGCAGGTAGTAATCACCAGTCAGGCATCCCGCATTTTGAGTTCCAAGTCATGTGATCCTCCATGAGTTGGCAGGAGGTTGGGGGTCCCAAAACCCGGTCAGGCCCCCCCCCCCAACAAAAACAGCGTTTGCCCCGCAGCTCGCCTCGCTCACACGCACGCCGGCGCCTGCTCGGCCACGACGAAGCGGCATCGCCCCTTGACGCAGTAGTGCCGGTACTCGTCTGGGCACCGGGAGAAGTGGCTCCGCCGCCGCGGCTGCGACACGCTGCCTGCAACACGCGAGGGGTTAAAAACCAGGCGTTTCCCCAGTCTCACAAGGTTGCTTGCCTGCCTGCCCTGTCCCCAGCAGGGATTTTTCCCTCATCCCTCCCTCTCTCTGGGAAGCACCGCAGGGGACCCTGCGGTTTCTCTAGACAAAATAGCCTCAATCTTCTCTGTCCTCTCCCCCGCAGGGCTATATCCAGGAGATGAGCAGCACCGTGCTGGGGAACGGAGCGAAATAAATAACACCTGGCAGGAGGCCTGGCTTAGGAGCCCGGCACATGGAGCACGCTGCAAGCGGCCAGCTCGGGTTCCCCATGGCAGATGTTTGCAGGAGCTCAGGGAGCTGGGCTGGTGCCCAGGGGCACGCAGCGGGGACGGACAGCCCGTGTCAGTGCAGCGACCGGCACGCTCTGACTTCGCTGCTCGCGCCGGGGACGCTCGCGAGGGCCGAGCCGCTCCGCGCTACCTGTGCAGTTCCCCGGGGGGCTGCAGGCCAGGCCGCCGGCCGTCGTGTTGGCATCAGCGCCCGCGTCGTCGCAAAGCACCAGCCCTGCAATGCAGAGGAGATGGATGAGCCCCTTGGTGCCCAGCATCGCTCCCGCCCGGAGCAGAGCCGGGCACGTGGTGGAGCTGGCGCTTCCCTCCTGTCTATATATAGCCCAGGTGAACGCCTTGGGGAGCGGGGCTGGATGTGCCGCCAGCACTTGGCCTCCGATGTCCCCACGCAGCCTCCATGGGCAGCGCGGGGCCCAGCAGCCACTGGCAGTGCCGCTGGGCGTGAGGATGACTTCACCCACTGCGCAGCTCCGCACGGAAACATCCGCACCAGGGATATTTTCAGCCCCTGATTGGAAACAGATGCTGCCAGCGCTCAGCCCTCTGCAAGTTTTCGTGGGGCGGAGGTGACAGGCAAGTGGGGCATGGGGCGTCTCCTGCCGTGGAGGGGACAGAGGTGCCCCTATGAGCTCCACAGGCACCCATGGGTGCTGGGTGTCCCAGCCTGAAACCAGCCCAGCGGGTGCCTCCCTGCCCGGGCGCAGGTTAGGCAGGTTTTGCCACGCACCCGCGCTGGGCTCTCCTGCAGAGGCACCAAGCTGATCCTGCGGGAGGGGAAGGCTTTGCCACAAACCACCCGCAGGTTTGGGGGACCTAGAGGGGCAGCAGAGCCCCTGCCAGCGGTGCCCATGGGGCTGGCCCATAGGCAGCAGCACCACCGGGAGGCAGCTGCCTGCTCGGGGCTGGGCAGCTTTGCCAGCACTTGCAAAGAGCCCTGCTTAGGGAATGACATTTGGGAACAGCTTTGCTTTTACCTCCCTGATGCCAGCCGAGCCAAGCACAGTGTTAAGAGATGGATAGTGAGATTTAAAGACAACATTTTCCTTCCTCTGTTTGAGTACCGAACCAGCCTTGATTTGACAGGGTTTGGGGCTGCTGAAATGCTCAATTCCTGCAGCAGGGAGCTGCCAGGTCCCCCCAGCCTGGGAACGGTAGGAAGGGCACAGCCACTGCAGCGCCCAGCTCCGCCTTGTGCTCCTGCCCCTTCCCACGTTGTTACACGAGTGGTCCCACTGCCCACCCCAGAACGCACAGCGTGATGTGACAGTACCCTCAGGGACCCTGGGCACAGCCTCTGGGGACAGCCCAGCCTGGGCAGCCCCCAGTCGAGGAGCGTCACCAGGGCTGTCCCCTACCCGGTGCCCCCGGTAGGATGGCAGTGGAGCACTGAGGAGGAGAGGAACGCGAGGAATATCGGGGTGGGACAGGGGGATCGCAGCATGGGACGGGAGGAAGGTCAGGGTGGGACAGGGGAGATCCCCAGGGCGGCACAGCGGGAGGCTGGGGCAGGGACGGGCGGCCCCGCGGAGGGCCGGGGCCGCCAGC